TCCAACAGCCACATTTCCCAAATTTCCGAACTTGGGTTTGAGTTTAGTGGTTGTTTTATTAACTTCCACAAACCTCTCAACAAAACCCAATTTGGGTGTCCAAAAACCAACTTCTTTGAAGCTTTGACCCACCACTTTACTGATTTTGAAATTTGGTGATTGAGATATTAACATCCCATTCTTGAATCTCACCATTCCGCTAAGCCCTTCGAAATTGCTCTCTCCAATTTTCTCCAATACTTCACTCCAGCTTAAATTTTCTCCCATGGCTCTCGTGATGGCACGGGCTGCATCATAAGCTCGAACGACAGAGATGGAAGCTCTTGTGGGTTCTTCTTCTTGTGGATATTCTAAACGGTACATCTTTTTAAACTTGGTTTCAAAGCTTTTGAAGGAGTTTTTGGTGTCATCGAAATATGTTCGAAACCCAATCACACCCTCCATTTTGTACCAAAAGGAAGAATCTAAAGAGTCAATAGCATCAAAAACGTCATTGGAGACGATCCAGACATACCCATTTCCAACCATATTCAATTTCTTTGCTTGTTCCAAAACAAGAACTGCCAACTCTACTTCAAGTTGTGTAACTACAAAAACCCTATTCCTTTGACTGTTCATAAGCTTTTTCAGTTCCTGTTCTATCAATATTTCTTGATTGGATGAGGAAGAGAGGGCCAGACGGTGTTCAACCTCTACATCAGCCAGCCGTAACGAATCGAAGAGACGATTGGCTGATACCGCAGAGTATATTGGAGAATGATCAGTGTTTGAGATGTCATAAAAGATTGTGACTTTTCGCCATTGAAAATGGGTGAGAATTGAAGCAATACATTGGATTCGATGGGTGATAGTGATATGGTTGGCCATTTGAATCAATGATGGGATTTTGAGTTGTTCTAATTGTTCAGCTGAAGTGGAAACAATTGGAATTGGGACAGGAAAGTTATTGTTGGAGATCACAATTAAATCCTGCATTCTCACTGATCCAACGACGGCTTTGACTCCTCCCTTGGTAATCAGATCCAAAGCTGTCGGAAAAATAGTTACCCTTTTCTTTACAAGTTGACTTGCATAAGATATATATATATATATACATAGAATAAAGATGCAAGATTAATCAAATATGTAGAAGACGGGAACTGTTGTATTATTATAACAATTATTCATTTTGAAGAAATCTTACATTTGCTTCTTTAAAAATGTAGATTTGATGGATTTTATGTGGAGATATAATTAATTAAATTAGAAAATCATGTAATTCTAACCGTCCAAATACTCTTTCTTCTACCCATCTCAATTTTTTATACATGGAAAATCTAAATTCCACGTAATATATTATTTATTTTTCTTCGTTGCTTTCGTCCGGTTATATAACTAATTTAGTTTCTAAATTTGACCTTTTCAAAACGTATTTTCTTTTTTTAGAAGAGACCGTTTCAAAACTTTATGAAATAAAATAAAACAATCTGAATAGTTTCAAAAACTAACATGAACAAAAATGAAACCGTAAAAGAAGTAATTTATGTTTGTAAGAATTTAATTCTTACACTATATTCTATAGAATTGTAATAATTTAGTATCTATCATGAAAAATTCAATCATAATTCTCGTAAGTAAACCCGGGTAGACAATGATGATAAGTAGCATGTTGTTGCAATTATCGACATGAAAAGAGAAAGTAAGAGATTACCAGAAGAAGGTGGTGAAGTGAGGTTTTGATGAGAATCATGGAGGAGAAGCTCCAGCTTGAGACAGGAAGAAGACAAATGAAAGTGGCTTAAACCCATCTTCATTGCTACCAACTGTTGCTTCCCAAGTTGAGACCCACTGTCGAAGACAACTCCAATTCTTGTAGTTTTATCATTTGGTTTAGGGTTTGTTTGACAATTGAGTATGCTTTTGCTTGTGAGAGCTTCTGAGCCCAACGACGAAGACAATAACAGCAAACCAAGAATGAAGGAGAGGCGGCAAAAGCAAATACGAAGAACTTTTGCCATTTTGTTTTTCCCAGCGAAAGTGTGGAGCTTGGGTAGCTTTGATTTTATGGTAATGAGAGGGGTTTGACAGGATCAATGGAAGTTAGCTATGGAAGGAATTGCCATACAATTGCATAATCCATGCAATAAGTTATGTAAGAAAAAAATAATTGAGCTTGAGATTGGAATATTTGATCGACTTGCGACAATCAAATTCATAACTTTGATGGAGAGAGAGAGAGAGAGTGAGTAGGAGTGATTGAAGGCAAATTTAAGGAATTCTGCAATGCTTGCTAAAGAAGGCACGAATGAAGCTTCCAATGACTTTCCCCATATTACAAATTATTAGTTTTTTTCCTAAGTCAACTAAACGTAGACAAGTATAGGGGCAAGGCTGAAATGGGCGTGGTGAGAGATTAACCTGACATCCCATCCCATAGTTTAATATACGAGAGAAAAATGATAGAAATGATCATGAGTTTATAATCAAATCATACTCTTTATGATGCCTTTTGAAGAAGTCCAAAATAAATGAGACAATATCATACCATTGTAGTAAATATTAAATCTCAATGTATTCCTCGACCAAATTTGAAAGTATAAGTTTCCTTCCATTCTTTTATAATAAAAAAAAAATGGTAATCAAACTTAGCTTAGTTAACCCGTTTAACTTAAGTATGTCACACGTGACATTAGCAATCCATTGACTTTTAGTTGATTTTAATTTTGATCTTTTGCAAGATTTCTCGTGACTTTTCGTTTTCTATTTGCTAATTTCCTACTTGCAATATTTTTGTTATATTTTAAGGTTGATCCCATGAAAATGTTGTCATTTCTATTTAAATGTTATGTTTGGAAACTATTTTGAAGAATTAGTTTGTAAAATATTTTTTTGTAAAGACACTCTAAATAACCTCAAATAGATTTTGTTACAACGATCAACTGTTTTAATATATTTTATTATATAAGCTGGTTTGAATTGAAAATATAAAACATTATTTTCGAGAGAAATTGTTTTAAAAAATTGGTCCAATTAAAATCAGCACGAGGCCTATAAAGCCCAGATTTGAGAAAACTGGTCCAATTAAAATCAGGCCCAATCGTTCAGGAGAGTAAAATTTTAAAGACTAAAAAAATAATGAAAAAGCTTCCCTGGCTCATTTTCATACCAAAATGGAGATTGGCCCACAGACCAATTAATGTTTGCCACGTTTGTTTGGTTCGCATACCTGTCGTGTAAGTAACAACTTACTCGATCCAAATTTGATTATTAATCCATTTTTTAATAGGTGGGAGGTGGGACCCATTGCCCATTTACAGATGGGAGTTAGGTTGGAAGATGCTCTTATTTTGGTTTGGTTTTTCCAAACTTCATCCAATCATTAAACTCAACTCTTTTTATTATTGATAATTTCATTTTCAAAGTGCTAACCAACGCCTTATTTTAATTATAAATTATTTCTTTATTTTTACCTCCACTTTATTCTATTTTTTATTTATTTTTAATTAACTAATCTAGTTAAAAAAATATTGGTTAGGCATCAAATGTTTAAACAAATAGATAATATTTATTTCATCATGTAGAACTAAAATGAAAAAATAATAAGTTAAAAGATACTATTTTTTTTTATTCATATAAACTATACATTTTAAAACGAGCCCACTAATATCTATTTTATTAACCATAAATTATAAGATTATTGAGATTTCTTAAGCAAAATTTGAATATACTCATATTTAACGAATATTCTTATAAAGGGTTAAAACACTTCAACTTCAATTAATAAAGTATGCTATAGAGTCTACTTTTAGCTATTACAAATATTTAAAATCTTCTTAATTGGGACGCACAAATATATTTTAATATACACCTAAGTATTTTAATTTTAAATATATTTTTTTTATCCTTTTGATAAAGTATATGCGCGTGTCCAAGAAAATTGAAGTTTGTTTGAAAAGAAATGATTAGGATTTGGGTTAGTTATATAATTATATTGTAATAAGTAATTTATTAACATTTATGCCATTTCCCGATAATGAAGGGATAAAACACAATTACTTTTTTTTTTTTTTTTTCAATGATTTCGATATATCTTGAGAGCAATATATATAAAATTCACAGTATTATTAAGTGGATGGGGATTTGGCATTTTGACCAAATTGGGCATTAATGCGTGGCTTTTATTTTTTAGCCTTTTTAACCTTATCCGTGGACAAAAAAAAGGAGCCTAAACTAAAGCCCATGACCAACGATATACCGACCAATAAAATTCTTCCAGGCAATTTTTATTTAGTTCAAATTTATGTTACAAAAATATTTGATATTGGACCAAAAAATGGGGACATGTTTATTTGAAAAATACATAGTAATTAGCATGACAGTGGAAAAAGAAAGTAAAACAATTTAGTATTTTAAAACACAATATTAAAAAAAAAAAAAAAAAAAAAACTTTTAAGAATTAATGGAACAATAACCCTCTAAACTTATAATTAATTATAATGAATCCAAGTTAAGATAAACGACAATGAAATAATGGGAGGGAGCATCAAGATGGTAGAGTGGTCCGCGGCGTATGGGATTTATTCTTGAGTGGATCATGTGCACGCGCTTTTTAACTGTACGAACCATACCACTACTGAAAGGAAAAAATGAAAAAAAGAAAAGAAAAGAAAAGAAAAGAAAAGAAAGGAGAATGGCGAAAACGTGGACGGTGGATATGGACCCACGTTGCACAATGCCATTGGCTGTATTTTACGTCAAGGCTCATCATCTTGGAGGATAGGTGGCCCACTTTCCCATTTATTTTAGACGGATATATAAAGTATTTTATGTATTTTAAACGCAAAGATCGCTCGTTGTCTTAAAACCTACAAATTAAAAAAAATCAGTGAAAAATAAACAAATAAAAAACAGGAGAAGATAGGAAGCGACGGCCGACACTTGGCGCCTCCACAAAGCCCTAATATAGAGAAGAAGAAGGTACCCATCCAAATTAGCCACCAGAAAAGAAAAAAGGGGGAATTTGTGATTAAAAATATATATATTTATTTCGTCAATTTTTGAGTTTCCCTTTATGGGTTTTGGGATTGCTTTTTCCCTCAATTTTCTTGCTTGATTTGTGTTGTTTGGATAGCTGTTCGATCACTTCGTGCGTTAGTTCATAGCTTGGGTCGTTTACCCTTTTGAATGTGTTGTTTATGGTGTTTTTTTTTGTGTTAACTAGACTTTTAGCAGTGGGAGTTTTCTGGGTTTTTGAATCTCTGTGTTCTTTGGTTTCGTGGAATCTGTTTTGAGGAGTTCTACTCACATGAGCTCTTAATTGGGGTATCACTGTGCTTTGAATGGAATAGCCAAGCTAAACTCTACGGTTTCTGAATATCTTTGCATGTGAGGTTTTTTCTAGTCGTCTTTTAGTGATTTGCAGTTTTGGTTTTTGGTGCGAAGGTTAAATGATCGTAAATTTTGAGTGATATTTTGGTGGTTGGGTCCGATTCTGGTTCTGATTGAATCAGATTCTGCGAAATTGCAAGGAGATGAATTTCAAGGATTTTGGGAATGACCCATCTGCCGGGAACGGCGGTGGAGATGGAAGACCTCCGGCCAACTATCCGTTAGCACGACAATCATCGATCTACTCCCTCACCTTCGATGAGTTTCAGAACATGGGGAGCATAGGCAAGGATTTTGGGTCAATGAACATGGATGAGCTGTTGAAGAACATTTGGAGCGCTGAAGAAATGCAAACTATGACATCTTCTGCTGCTGCTGCTGTTGGTAAAGAAGGGGCTGGTACTGTTGGCGGTAGTAGTGGGTATTTGCAGAGACAGGGATCTTTGACGCTGCCAAGGACACTCAGCCAGAGGAAGGTGGATGAAGTTTGGAAGGACATAATCAATGAACATGCTAGTGCTAAAGATGGGAATACTGTTGCTTCTAATTTGGAACAGAGGCAGCAAACTCTTGGGGAGATGACACTTGAAGAGTTTTTATTCAGAGCTGGAGTGGTGAGAGAAGATACTCAAGTGACTGCAAACCCCAACAATGGAGGGTTCTTTGGCAACAACACTGGTTTTGGAATTGCTTTCCAGCGGCAAGCTAAAGTTCCTGAGAATAATAATCAGATTCCGGTTCAACCGTCAAACTTATCGTTAAATGTCAATGGAGTTCGAGCACATCCGCCGCAGCCAATATTTCCAAAGCAGCCTACTGTGACATATGGATCTCAGTTGGCTTTACCCAGTGATGGTCAGCTGGCTAGTCCAGGAATTAGAGGTGGAATTATGGGGATTGCAGATCAAGGGTTGAGCACAAATTTGATGCACGGGTCTGCACTGCAGGGTGGAAGAATGGGAGTGGTTAATTTAACAGCTGGTCCGTTACCTATTGCAACAGAATCTCCAGTGAACCAACTATCATCAGATGGGATTGGAAAGAGCAACGGTGATACCTCGTCCGTGTCTCCTGTGCCTTACGCGCTTAATGGTGGAATCAGAGGGAGGAGAAGTAATGGGACTGTCGAAAAAGTTGTCGAGAGGAGACAACGGAGAATGATAAAAAACAGAGAGTCTGCTGCGAGATCACGGGCTCGAAAGCAGGTGATGTGTTGTTCAACCTAACTTTGTTAACTGGTCTAAACCATATAACTTGAAATCTTGTTGACTTGCTTCTATGTTGCCATGTGCACCTGGAGTTGTGAAAAATGGTTATTTGTAAACTAAAACCATTTGTGATACCAACCATTTGATGCATTTATGTCCTCAATTACTTAAGAATGGCATATCATGTGCTTCATCCATGTGCTGATCTATTCTTTATTAGATGCACTCTACAGATATATTAAACCATGGTTCAGTTTCCTCTATTAGCTCTGGCCGTCCCATTAAACACATCTGCCATTCTACATTTCCAAATTGTTCTCCTTGAAAGTAGAGAGATATTTTATTGTTGCTAAGTATTATAAATATAGGGTTAAAAGAATTTTATATTTGAAGGCATCCTAAGAGGAAAAACTGGACCATATAGTTTTGTTTGAATGTAAAGTGTTGCTAGCTAGTAGAACTCATAAGCTTAGACTATTGTGAGATCCCATATCGATAAGCTTAGACTATTGTGAGATCCCATATCGGTTGGAGAGGAGAATAAAGTATTCCTTATAAGAGTGTGGAGACCTCTCCCTAACAGACGTGTTTTAAAACCTTGAGTGGAAGCCCGAAAGGGAAAGCCAACAGAGAACGGAATCTGCATGTCTCTAACCTTCCGCCCCTAGATTATTTCTTTAGGCGTGCTGCATTACAAAATATCACCGAGTATATATGGTGTCTTGAACTCTGATACAGTTTTTTTGACCCATATATCATGCTGACGTTGGTTGCTCAATATTGATGTTATTTTTATATTGATGGAGATTCATTTGACCATGGGTTTCTCTTCGTTTTCACTAGGCTTACACAATGGAATTGGAAGCAGAAGTTGCAAAGCTGAAAGAGGATAACCAAGAACTCCGGAGAAAACAGGTACATAAGAGTCTCTACGTCAAAAGAGTGAGCTTGTTAATCAAATGAATGGCTTCACCATTCACAATTATTATTTTGTTTGGTTGCTGCAGGCAGAAATCATGGAAATGCAGAAATCCCGGGTATGCTTTCCCCATTGATATTATTATGTGCTAGTGTGGCTGCCCATATGCATGTTACCATTACTATTTTGAAAATTTCTCAATTCTTAAATTTTGTATTTCTACGAGTTATTCTTGTTTTAAGGATAGATCTATACACGACTGAAATGAAGCTAGATTCCCGACAATTTTCATCTCTCTTTCATTTCAAAAGTCTTTTTCTTCAGCTGTATATTATAATACCTTGATGGGGATGAAGCTTTAGTTGGGAATAGTATTTTTTATTAAGTCATGCATGCTTATTATGCACCTCGCTACTGTCAATACCAGCGACATGCTCTTTACTTTTTCATCTAGTTCGTTAACTGGTGAAGACTGCTGTTAATTCATCGTGCAAACATTCTCTCCATCGCCACTTCACATCAAACAAACCCTTTTGCCATCTTTGACTCTCCATGATAATTGATGAGCATTCTTTTGATACTGCAATCTTCTCCTTATGACAACTTCTGGTTTATATTGTTCTTGATGAAAGCAACCTTTTCAAATTCTGGCATTTTGTTACAGGCGTTGGAAGTAATGGACAATCAACAAGGAATCAAGAAGCAATGCTTAAGACGAACGCAGACTGGCCCATGGTGATTTCAGAGGATGTTATCTGATATCCAGGCCGAAAGAATAATGCCATAGATGGTGGTGTACATATAAGTCATGCGGTAGGTTGAGAGTTGTAGGTGGCGTGTAGAATCCATCTCGGGGTGTCTTGCTTGCAGGTATCATACTTCGACGTGGATGAATTCAGTAGCTTTCGAGCGAAAGCAAAGCACATGTTTTTCAATGTATTTTCTGGAAATACTAGTTCATACAGCTGCTCCACCCTCCTGCCATGGAGAGAGAACCAAGTTTTTTGTGGCATTTCCTGATATGGCCTTGCTGCTGCTGTGGTTTTGAGTAAATGTCAATCATGAATGCAGGATTCATCAGGTTCAATTCATTGGCATGTCAATGGCAACTAGTGCCGTCTGATTTCCTCTGTAATCTTTACATCCTGATGTTTTTAGTTTTGACTTCTGCTTCAGTTGTAAGTTTTAGATTAGCCAAACCAAGGAATTACATTACATCTTCGATTATGTTAAACCTTGATTCTCTCACTGGAATGCCCCTTTTCATTAGTCCCACTTTTTGATTCTTCATCTTCCTCTGTCAAATCCAGATATATCCTTTGGGAGAGCTGTAATTAGAGTAAATTCATAATATTAACGTCTCAATCCAATGATATGGTTAGTACACAAAATCTCACCATTGGACCATACGTTTTTGTACTTGTTTAACAACCACTTTCTGTGATGAGAATTCCAGACCCAAACCAAGAGGCATCAGTGAAAATCTTTTTCTTCTCTGAAGGCTTTTTTGGATCTTGAAGAACTTAGTTGAAGTGTCATAAAAGAACAAGCTAGGGGTCCCATAACAGTCCTTCCTTCTGGTAAAGCATTACTCACAGAGATAGCTTATAAGGAACTGGATCCAGCTATGACATTGATGACGATATTGTACTTGGTTTGAAGATTACGTACTTACTCTACTACACTTATGAAAAGATTCTTACTCACTTTCATAATGGAATCCGCTTCCTTCACGTTATTCAGTACAAATTAATTAAGATAGTGAATGAACTTTAGCAAGTTAAAATCTAAGAGTTTGTTGGGGCTGTTCATCGATAATTATCCAAACCGACAGATGGGTGAACTGTGTAAGAAGGAAACCAAAAAGTAGCTTTTTATTATTTCTTCTGTTTCCGTGGTCCTTTCCTTGCCTTTTAAATTGAGATCAAACCGACTCTCTACGTTCACCGACAAAACAAACTTCGAAAAAATCAAAACCCAGCTACAAGAAAATGGTGGTTTAGTTAAGAGTTTCATTATCAGTGACCCTTTGAGCTTATGAACATGACTTATTTCAAGATTATGATGGTTTCTAAATGCATGTGAGCCCTTGTTTTGAGGGTTCCATTATATTATTAACACAGTTGGAAAAAGTTATCACCTTTTTTGGTCAATCTGGTGGCATGCATTCGCTTGATTCTGTGCTAACATTTACTGAATAATTTATGGTTTTGCAGATTTGCATTTCTTTAATCTGCCACATCACATGCACCTCCCACGAGCCTTCTCCTTTTCATATTCATTATATATTTTGTATTTTAATCATTTCTCAATACGACTTTACCAATACTGCAAAATCCAACACCAATAAATGCACATAAATATTGTCGTAGTGTAGGGGGAAGCCAGGAATCTCATAAATTTTTAAAGTTACATGGGGACTGTAATATTTTCAAAATTTTCAAATGCATATAATCATTTTTTCCCACTTCAGAGCTTGTAAAAGTTCGGGGTAAGGTAAGAAAAAGGGAATCCAAGTTCGCTCAACTACTAAGATGCAGACAAGTGGGACAGAAATGGTGCCGGTGGCAGAGGCAGTGATTGAAATGTGGGTGTTGCAGATTTGCTCGCCGTTCAAACGGGGAGCCCAACGAGCCTCCGCATTTTAAAAATTAAACCCACACGTCTTTCTGGTCACATTACAATTTTACAAATTTACCAACTTTTTTTTTTTTTTTTTTTTTTTTTTTTTTTT